AACTTCCCTCTGTATTGATACAAATGACAGATCAATTCGGTAGAGATAGGCAAAAAAGGGAAATGAATGAAGCTATTGAACAGAAAAAAACATGTCAGATACACAAGGAAAACGAGATATTGTTTTTCTGTGAGCGAATCCCGGGTGGGAGGGGAGAGGTGCAAATGATCAACCGTGATGTAGAACGAGGGAGAATGATCTAGACCATCTCTGAGGTTCTTATCTGTCAATGGTCCATGTGAGTCCAAAACAAGAGGAAACGGAAAAAAAGTTACACGCCAGATAAATAACGTCATATAAGGTCCCCAACTATTCATGATTTTCTCGAGGACCCCAACAATATTCGAGTAGGCGGGATACATACGTGTGTGCAACATTCGGGACACGAATAAAAAAACTGCCGAAATTCTCAGGTCCAAAACCAGGTGTACCCATTAAAAATGACTAGTTTCTTGTTTCGGGAGAAAAGAATCTGGCAAATATATTCGAGGATTCGGTCGTGTGAGTGTTGAAAAACAGCAAGGTGGAATTATAGCTGAGCGAAGAGAGAGAATGAATAATTTGGTGTGACAAGTCCGAGAACCCAAAGGAAAACAATTTTTTCAAGCAGAATGACCACGGAACACAGTGGTAAAAAGTGAGACATTATCACAATCTTCAAAAAATTTGTCCAGAAAACATGCGTAATTCAGTCTGGCTAAGACCAGACACCTAAAGACAACTGACATCCAACGAGAGAAGAAATATGAAGTAAGAGTAAAACCAGATAACAAGTAAAATAACATAAGTCCATCGGAGATTCTGATTCGTAGCAGAACAATGCAATGAACTAGACGTTTTCGGATCGAAATGAACACTATGAATGAGCAAAACCGAGAAAATAAGCGCTAAGGACGATTATGATGATTATAACACTAGGCACCGAGGCGAACATTCTGAAGTTACGAGGAAGAATGAGGGCAGGGCAGCAGGATGAAACTCATTCAAAAGAATGAAACATGCGAAAGCACAAAAATGGTGAATTCAAAGGTGCATTGCGATTATAAGATAACAACCAAAAGAGGACAGTCACGAAATCAAAATTGCTCTTGACGACTGCACGGTCAATTTCCGCACTCCAGTTTCGCATGATCTGCCGGGTAGGTTCCACGTTCATCGAGCGGACGGAATCCGGACAGGTCTGCAAAATATTGAAGGATAATTTACTATTTTCTGCAAACTATTAATGCCAATTAGATGGACATTCAAGATGTCAACCATCGGCTTGTTACAAATCAGCAAACACAAGCATCCGCTTAGTACTAGCTCTTTGGTTACCGCCCTTCAGCAATTACAACCAGAAAAAAAATTAAATACCTAGTACAGAAAGGGAATGGTTAGAATAGAAGTAGATGTGCATGGGATTAATCCTGATGAGTACACAAAGCATTGAACTGCTGAAGAACACAAATATATGTTTATCATCGCGAACAGACGGAGGATCTTCGATTTTGTATTTCAGCCGAAAACGACCGGAATCGCCTATTCAAGACAGTACTGCTTTATTTTTTTCTGTCGACTTTAGTTATCGGCCACAATAGACACCAAGTGCAAAGTATGTTTAGCACGGAGGAGAACGCGACACAGTAAGCACCACAATCAAAGGAAAGATGCGTTCCGCCTTATGTATATGTGACCATGCGTACCGCACAGCCATGAGTATATCAGTGAGCGAATCAAAATAGACGTCTTCCGCAAACTGCATGGAAGTGACAGAACCGTTCTGACACGTTTCATCATCGGGGGACAAGCGGGTGCCGTAGAGGAATAATAGCAACGCAAGTTAAACAAATGCACCATGATCTCAGCAACAACAATTAGAATACAAACAAAATTGCAACAATCCTCATTCATTCTCGGGTAAATTAACACACTGAAAAGTATTAGTACAAGCCCACAAAGTGATCAATACGTAGCATTTAGAAAATATTAAAATTTAGAAAATTTTGTCATTTTTTCGAGGGTTTCTTTAAACGATTTACATTAGGTTGTTTGTGTCATTGACTTTACAAAGCTTTTCATCCCCCTCCCCCCCCCCAAAAAAAAAGTGAATATCGTTCCTCTAAACAGCAGATGAGATCATTCAACCATAATTCTTTTGATCACAACATTTACGAGATAAAAGGGCAAATCCAACGGACGATGGCTGGGGCTAGAGATTCGGGTTAAAACTGGTCACAATTCCCTTGCGCCTTGCAAAATGCACCTAGACGATCCAACGATCTCAAATAAGCTCTGCCGAGGAAGCCCTGCTCAGTGACTTATCGTGGTGGCTTAAACCAATAAAGTGAGAGGACGAATATCTAACATCAAGGTCGGTGAACAGCTGCCAGTTTATCTAGGGAAGCTGACTAAAAACCTTGATTCAAAATCAACCGTTCGTACGAACCACACACACACACCTTGGTTGTGGCACAATCACTGGTTCGATTAGCGATCGAGATGAACTGAGCGCCTTCGACATTTGATCCCGTCCAAAGGATGAAAAACTCGACGAACTATAGATACCGACTTCCACGCACCACTCCGTTGCTTTGAGGGTCAGGCTTTGGCTAGCCGGGGGCTCTGGATGTGGTGGAGCCAGGAAAATTCGCGTGCTTTGGCCTGGGAAACCGGGTACTATCAAACCCACTAGCACATCGTGGAATTTTTTCTTTGTAAAAGAAATTGCTGTACCATGATTTGTTTGACACAGTCTGAAGTCCAAAGAGCGCGAAATGGAATAATAATAATAATAATAATAATAATAACCACAATGACAGCAATAAAATTTGATGAAATCACTGCAATCAATCATACCCTACGGTAACCCTTGGATTCTTCCTTTTTGGGAAAATGAATCGAATAATTACTTATTCGTCCATAAGAGAGCAGAAACCTTTACATGTGACAGATTCCTAACATTATTTGGTCTTGATACAATAAGCAGAAGTATGTTTCATTATCATTAGTGAAATGAGATGTACCTATTGGGAACTAGTCTCAAAGGACTTAAGAAATTGTACGCCACTTTGGGAGTAATATGAACAGAAACAATCAACTTGTTGAGAGATTTTCCACACTCAGCCTAAATAATAGTTTACATGATTCCGTTTGTTTTCACACGTACACAGTTCGGGTGAAACGGACGATAGGCGCAAAAATTGGGTAAGGTAAACAAACTTAAATGTAACAACGAGATAGACTCTAATCCCTGGCGAATCTTTAAAGGACACGATTCACTTTACACACCTCTATTGAGAGCATGAACAAAACATAAATGGAAAATAGTAAAAAAAATCTTTTGACCATGGTAGCCAATCTCTCCGATTACAAACGGGGCAGGCGCGAATCACAGATATCAATAGTCCAGGACTCAACGTCATCTAACCTTTTTTGTTTCGCTCATTCTACTCCGCCACTTTCACCTCCCACCGTGCACGGTATCTATGTCCTCATCTCAAAACCCAATTTCCTTTATCACCTGCAATCAACAGTACGGTTCATTTTTTTCCTCATGGCAAACAGTGAGATCGGCCAAAATGAGTGGTACAGATGCATGCCTTCTTATCCCGCGCACCCCTCCTGCAAAAGTGTAGCTCATTTTGTTTCACAGGTACTCAGTCCCAAGGTTTGAGAACCTCAATTTCACGAAACCACATTTTACCATTTTACGTCCTTCACTAATATTAGAATCCTTTATCAGAAACGAAGTTGAAACCAGTCAAAGGAATGATGGCGTGGCAGTAAGTAAGGTCTGAACACAGCCCACAACACCGATAAGATGAGCACCGATGAGGATGATGATAGACAATCCCTGTCGGTTCTCTGAAACAACACTAGCCTTCTACTCTCACCAGCTGAATAGACAATTGTACAATCAAGTTTGATGAAGTGGGAAGATCTTCCATAGGATACAAAGAAATGGAAAAGTGAGGCGTCGGCGTCGGGACCTGAACGCCCGACCTCCGGGAACACGTGATGGCAACCATCAGAGACAGTGAAAGAGAATAGATTGTAGGAACAATGCAACTTCTAGCAACAAAAGAACAATGTGAATTTGACAGGTCCCTGTTTTTGCAGCTAACTTACCCTAGAATCAAAAATCGATGGGCAGCTATTTTCCGCAAATTTTATTGATGAACCAATCCGAATAACCAATATTTGGCAAATTGCTAATTGCTAATACTCACGCTGGACAGTTCTCATTTATTTTGCTTTAGTGACCCAACATCGATAGAGAAAAATGAACGACTAGAAACTGGTTGCTACATATTGAACTGTGAAGTGCTGCAGTGGCGTGAAACAAAAGTGATCAAAGTAAAACGGTTCAATCAATCAAATACAGTATCATTAAAAAAAAGAAAATCCGTTGCATTACAAACAGGATTAAACGTACTCACACGTTCGGGAAGAACTAACTATGACACACAAGCACACAAACATCAGTATTGCTGTCCAACTGCAGAGATAAGCTCCATATGAACTCAAATATCTATCGTGTGGGAGGCTTGAGCAACAAAGACGGGGCTAAATTTACTTGTACCATGGTAACAGCCTAGAAACAGTGCATAATTCAATTTGTCTGAGACCAAAATGGGAGCTGAATTGAAATTCAATTGCTAAAACATTCACCGAGTCAACGAAATTGTTTCTGGTAGAATTATATCGGTTAGGTGAATAAAACCAATAAACATTCAAAAGCACTATTTGTTCAGCGAAAACCATCAGCAATAGCCAATGTTTATAAATTCCTGGTTGGTTCCGTAATTTTTCATTTGTTGAGAATCACCTTTTAGTTCAGAGCATGTTTATGGACGACTTGCTCATATAGCAATAGCAGACAACAAACGAGATATTTTGACTATATAAATGGATAAAACTAAGAGAAACACATCCCCATACACACTATCAAAACTCACCAGAGATAGAATAAGTGACAATGTAGCAGGCAGGATACGAATAAATTCGATGACTGTAGATCACATAATCACAACCGATTCCAGAGTGCTTTCTTGTTCTTGGTCTGCATCCAATCTGTTTACGTTCGCATCAGTTTTCTGCGCGCTCTCAGTTTCAGGTTCGTGCAAAGAAACCAAGGTCTCGATGGGCTTGACTTCATCCTGTTGTTCCAGCGGCCCTGTAGAAGGACTCTGGGGACCGCTGCTATTCGGCATTCCAGCTAGGAGATCCGGAGTCTCGAAATCCCTGGGAGGAGACCCGGCCATTGTGTTTGCTGGACTACCGAATGAAGGTTCAGGTGAGCCGGTTTGCAGCCGGAGGATTTCGCTAGAACCAGGCGTGACAGCGGTGGATGCGGCACCGGAGGCAAGAACCGTGGACGAGGCGGCAGCAGAGATGGAATATGCCGGAAGTGCGCCGTAGGATTGTAGATATTCATGATCGATTTCATTGTCTATTAGACTCTGCATGAGGTGAGTATAAACAGATAGATAAAATGCGAGTCAATAAAAAAATTTTCTGAGCTATAGGAACTTCAATGTGAAACTACATCGACTAAAGGATAGTTCGTAAGTCACGCCTCAAGCAGAAAAGATATCTGAAAGCATAGAAAATTATTCATAATATCTGAAAGGAACGGTGTTTAACGAATTTGGCTAAAAGGCTTTGACCGCAAAAGGCGTAAGGGGAAGTTCCTACGCAATGTTGGAGCCAGATTAGGACAGGTAGCCTGCGATACCGTATAGACAGATTGAGCAAACGATTCAGCTTGCAAGTGACAGTCTGAGGGTAAGTTTAACCCGCACACGTACAGCGGTTTCCAATTTTCACAGCAACCGCCCCCTCATTTTAACCCCCCCCCCATACACACACACAAAGAACGCTTAACTCTTGTCATTCATGTCCCTGTGTTTCATGCCACTTCACTTTTCGAAGGCCGTGCAATCAGTGCATCAAACTATAAGATAAGGCCATGCGGTTTAGTCTTGACAAACAAATGACGGTCCATCAATGTGTGATATTTGCGTGGTTGACTAGTGCCTTTGTTTGTGCATGCAGTGAGTCATGCCATGACATAAAATCAACCCCAGACGATAAATAATTGACTCGCCAGACGCGACGGCGGGCGATAGATACCGGCAGAAGTGACGAGGAATCTGCGTCAAAGGGTTATCACTTATAGTGAATATTGTGGGATCCATTGACAGTATGCCGATGGATGAGTCACCCAGTGTCAGTTCCGAANCCGAAATTATTGCTGCAACTACGTGTCAAAACCAGAAAATTTCATGAAACGCAACATATTAGACGAGCACCACTTTGAACGCTCAATGTAGGTAGGTAGCTCAACAACACAGAGAGAACACAAGAACCAAAATAAATTCGCTTAGGTGGTACACAGCACAATGCACCATCCTAAGCAAACTGGTATACGCTAAAGCGCAAATGAAACCATTTGCGTAAACGTGCATCCTTTGTCAGTGAGGAATAGAACCATCCTAAAAAAAACTCATCTAAAAGGCAGTTGATATCACCTTTGATAATTCACCTTCCTCCTATGCGTGTGATTATTCACTTACGAAGAACATGGATAATATTTTTCTTGACTAAAGATGTACAAACCTTTGCAAGGTCTGAACACTGTTTTTCACACTAGAAATTTACGGTTACACACGCCTTCGGCCAGCGCTGCCAATGCGTTCCTGGTTCGAATTATCATTCATTTTCAAATTATTCACACGCATGGAGATTCAATATGGGTACGGTTTGCTCGAGTGCAATTGATGAAAAGGCGTCCCACATAAGTGGAGTAAACCAGCGACTTTCGTTTGGCGTACTCAATGAAGAAAATATTGCCAACCCTGAAGATGAACTGGTCCGTTCGCCAAATTCAACCGGTAACACCCGAAGTGGTGGGGTCATTCGGCTAATAAGCCCATCAGATTGTCCTAAAATCCGAGGAGTAAAATCATTCAGGATGAAAACCTGACACTGGCTCGCCGGGATGCACGTGACATCCTGCGTGACCAGCGAGTCTTGTAGAGACATTGAAAGTTCTGTATAGTCAAGGATGAGTTATTGCACCTAGCCAAATGCTCATATTTGATCAAATACCTCAGATAGCACACCTGCGGAAGAAGTCCTACTCATTGCCTCCATGTGACTTGGTTAGTTACCGCAGCGAGAGGACGAAAAGTTTACATTCAAAGGCATAACCGAATAAGTGAAACATTAGCAGTAGTTCATTTATGGGAATTGGCGACCCCCCCCCCCTCCTCTCTTTAACAACGATCCGATAG